AGGACCTGACGCCAGGGACGCATTCCCACTGGCCGAGTACCCATGGGTAGCAACGCTTTCTGGCGGGGCTGCCCACTCATCTGCACCCTGTCAGTCAGCTCCATCCAGGGCGGTGCCCGTGGCATGCCAGCCGGGCCCTCACTGGCATCCCGCCAGGGCTGGCAGCACCATCCCTCATTTTCATATCCAAGAAGTTATTGCAACCATCCTTATCTATAATCCTGGTGTGGCCGTGGAAACTACATGTCCCAGCGTGCAATGCTCTGGGCAGCCTTCATACTGTAATCCCTTATGCACCATCAGACCTCCAAAAAGAAGGTAGCAATGCATGCTGGGATCTGTAGTCTCCTTGGGCTGAAACATCCTGTTGAGCAGGAGGGCAGCCCAGGGGCCATTCCTCTTGATTGCAGCACCAGGGACTGGGAGCAGAACCCCAACACAAGTAAATGTCAGCACGTCGGCGGGCGGGGCACCGGGAATGCCAATGACCTGGGCTATGGTTTCATTCCAGCGATCCTTGCCTCGCGACGGACTGCAAGTATGCCAACAAGTTCCACTTCCACTGTCTCTTTGGGAACTGCAAGTACGTCTGCAAAACCTCAGGCAAGGCCGAGTCCCACTGCCTGGACCACATCAACCCCAACAACAACTTGGTGAACGTGCGAGACCAGTTTGCTTACTACTCCCTGCAGTGTCTCTGTCCCAACCAGGTCAGCGTGGGGGCAGGGGCAGGGGGGTGCAGGGGACAGGGAGGTATAGGACCCAGTACTAGCTCCTCCTGGCAGAAATTCCATTTCTCATGTCCTTTTTGAACTGGCCTCCTCCAGACTCTGGAAGGACGCTTTCTGCCCCTGGGCCCTAGAGGCCCCTGGGCAGGGGTTCAGATTGGTACTCAGTCGGTGAAGTCTATCATTTCGTCCTAACCCTCAGTGGTGACTATATGCTGAGCAGACACTGTGCTCTTGGCATCATTCTGCCTCCTGGAACTAGCTATGCGCCCTTTCCCCAGAGGCCTAGATTTTAAAATAGGCCCATTGGATAGATAAAGAGATTGAACTATCCATGCCCCAGACAGGAAGGCAGATCAGATTCCATAAAGGCCCACTCCCTTCATGGTGAGCACGTTGAAGAGTATGAGCCTAGATCTGTTACAGAGAAGAGTGTGAGGCTCGATTAGTGATGTCTGCTTAGGTTGGGGCATACAGAGAAGAGAGCTAGGATAGATTAGTGATGCCTGCACTGGATGTGGGACTAGAGAGCGATGGCAGCAATACCAGGTAGGATGTTTTAGTCAAATGACAAAAGGGGCATGCTGCTTTTTAACACGCGAAAGATACCCGATTACGTTTTCTGATCCTGAGCACAGAACACATGTACAAGGGGCCCACCTCATCCCGGAGGCCTGGGGCAGGTGGAAGCTCACAGAAGTCACCTGCCTGGTCCTGACCCTCTTGTCCCTCCGTGCAGCACTGCGAGTTCCGGATGCGCGGGCACTACCACTGTCTCCGGGCCGGCTGCTACTTTGTGACCAACATCACCACCAAGCTGCCATGGCACATAAAGAAGCATGAGAAGGCGGAGCGGCGGGCAGCCAACGGATTCAAGTACTTCACCAAGCGCGAGGAGTGCGGCCGACTAGGTACGGACAGTCAGGGCCGGGGCCGGGGACTTGTAGCAGGTAGCAGGGCTGTGGCTTTAGCCCCTGAGGCCCTTGTGACCTGAGTCATCTCTCTTGGCATCTACCTCCTGCCCCTGCACATCAGGCTCCATGTGTTGTCGAAAATGTCACAGAGATCACAGGCCAGGCATTGTCAAACTGGGAAAACAGCCAAAACCCAAGAGCCCACAAAAAGGGGTATGGGAGACTCGGAGCACTGCACCCACCCCAGAGAAAATGCCTGGGCCCTCGCTGGGCGGCCAGGCCTGGACCTGGTTGTCTTTCCTTTTCAAGCAGGCTTTCCGGTGAGTGTTAGGGCCTCCGGAAGTTCCCCGTCCGGGAATCTCTTTCCGTAACTTTAGCTACGGGGGTTTGGGACATTCATTCACTCATTTAGCAGACACAGAAACAGCTGTGTGCCGAGTTCTGCGCTATTGCAGGAGGTCACGGGGGTGGCAGTGGCGGCAACTAAGGTTTTTTTGGCGACTTCTGTGGCAAGCACTGTGCTCAGTGCTGAGGACCTGGTGGGAGAAACAAGTACATTGTAGGCTCAGCCCAAAGCTCTGTGACTTGGGGTGACCCATTAGAAGGTGGGCATGGAGCTGGGAAGAGAAGGCCGCAGATGGCCCCAAGCTTGGCAGCAGATGCCTGAATTAACTCTGCTGCTGAGAGCTGGGCCCCCGGCAGAGAAGCTGACCCCCAAGTTCCAGAACAGAGCCTCCCCGAGCTCGCTCTGGGGATGCCTATGGAGAGGGGGCTCTAGGACCAGCAGGCAGAGGGCAGAGCCGACCCTCCTGCCTCAGGATGGAGCCTCTTCTTCACAGGCCTGCAGATGTGGGGCAGGAATATGCCCAAGAATGGACCAGAGACCAGAGGGCAGGTGGGAGCCGGGCAAGCTGGGCAGAGAAACGTGCGCTGCAGGCAAGCCCTGTTGTGGTGGCCATGGCAGCAGGGTCTTGGGGGAGCAGAGGTGGGGCCACCGCCTACTGCAGACTGGCCTTTCCTTAGGGGAAGGGTGAGATACTCAAAGTCAACTGCCAGAAAAGAAAGGAAACAAACCTTTCCTTCAAGTATTAATTCAAAAAGAATTCGTGGCTTGGGAGAGGGCTGGTTACCATGGCAACAGATGTCAACACTCGGTGGCCTATGCTGTTCCTGGGCTCAGTTTACAGGTGTCAGAGTATTCTGTAGTTGCTGTTATTTACTCAACTTTGGGTGTTTTTGGTGGTACCTGGGGCCAAACAAAGCTGGGGGATGATATAAGACACCTGGCCAGCTCAGGTGCCATGGCAACGGACAGGCCTTCACCTGCCCTTTGCTGATACTGTTTCAATCCTGCCTGTTCTGTTTGTTCTCAGTCCAGAGCAGAGTAGAGGTGGGAGGGGGCAGGGCAGAGGGCCAGCAGGCCTGCGGCCACCCGAACAAGGTCTGAGGGCAGGCAGCACCCCAGGCTCTCCAGAGGAGATGTGGCGACAGGTGGCTTGCTGGGAAGTGGTTGACCCCGTGGACAGATCATTAGGGTACCTTGCCCTGGATCCCCTGGAGCTTTCAGTGTTTAGGGTCGGGGATGGAGGCCAGCCTGCCATTGTCACATGCCTCTATGTTAGGCCAGAGGGGAGGCCCAAGCTTTGGGCAGCCAGGTGGCCTAGGACTTCCTGGGGGAGGGGTGGGATACAAGTCCTCCTCATAGGAATGCCATCACGAGGGAAGTGCCCTTTCCCCAGCTGCCATCTGCCTGGTCGGCCACAGTTCCCCCTGCCCAGAACAGTGCCCTGAGTTCTGGCCGGCTTGGGGAAGCTCACGCCGAGTGGACTGTGTCCACAGGCTGCAAGTACAACCAAGTGAACAGCCACTTCCACTGCATCCGGGAGGGCTGCCAGTTCTCCTTCCTCCTCAAGCACCAGATGACCTCCCACGCCCGGAAGCACATGCGGAGGATGCTGGGGAAGAACTTCGATCGTGTGCCCCCCTCCCAGGTGAGAGCCCAGCCCCGCCAGGCCATGCCCTCTCCAACCCAGTGTGGCAAGGGGGCATCACCCACGTCCCACTCTTCCAGGTGGTGGGCCATGCCACCCACCCAAAGCGACATTCTGCCCCCTGTGGGCAGTGCGGCCCCCAGCCCAGCTTCCTCAGGGACCCCTGCTTCTTTTCAGGGTCCCCCGAGCCTGATGGACACTGAGACAGACGAGTACATGGATTACACTGGCTGCAGCCCGGGTGCTGTGTCCTCTGAGTCGTCCACCATGGACCGAAGCTGCTCCAGCACCCCTGTGGGGAACGAGAGCACCGCAGCAGGTGAGCTGCAGCCAGGGGCCAGGGGCCAGTGCGTGAGCGGCAGGCCAGGAAGGGACAGTGGGGGCCTGGGACCTTCTAGCCTGGGTCGGGCCCCTCCTCCCAAGGCCCAGCACTGCTCAGTCCCTCTTAGGACAGGAGGTTCATGGTCAGTTGTCCGCAAAGGAAGACAGGCCAGCGTGCAGCAGGCCCAGCTGGTCGGGGACATGGGTCATTGAAGTCACCTCCTGCCATCCTGCCCTCCTCCCCAGCATTCTGCCCTTGGTTTCAGCTTCCAGGAGAGGACCCAGGCTTGTCCTCCCTGAAAGCAACAGAATAAAGCAGCACAGCCCCAGCCAGAGGAGCCCGCGCGTGAGAGGGGCGTAGGCAGGCGGCCCGCCCTCCCCAGCCCTGGCACCTCTTCTGGCCCTTCTGCCATTGCCCCAGCATGGTCCTTGGGCCCCAGAGCAGGGTCCCACCCGGGCTGGGCTCCACTGCAGGCCCCCGCCGAGCCCTCCACGACCTCCCCCTGCACGGCCTCCCCCTCCCATTCTCGCTCTCCTGCCACCTCCTCCCCGCTCTTCTTCGTGGCACCTCTGCCTCATCTGTCCACGTGTTTTCATGTCATACTTGCTTCTGCCATTGGGTTTCTCATTTTGGTTCTTTTTTGTTTGTTTCTTCTTTTTTTTTTTTTTTTCTGCTTTTCTCCACCCTCTCCAGGCTGCCCGGCTCCTCCTCCTCCTCCTCTTCCTCCTCCTGCTGCCGCCGGTGACGAGGCTGCCTGCGTGGCTCCGCAGCCCCCACTGACCCCATCCTTCTCACCGGCTGTGCTCCGGGCGCCCCTCCCCTCTCTCCCATGCCTCTTTTCTCCGCCCTGTCTCTCATACTCTCTGCTCAGTGCCACTCTCGGAGCCACCCGGGGCCTGGCCCACCCCATCAGCAGCCCGCCCAGCTTCCCGCCCGCCACTGCCACTCCAACTCCAGTAAAAAGTGACGTCCCCCTAGTTCAGGATGCTGCAGGTAACTCGCACACGCCTTCTCACCAGTGCTTACTGTCCTAGGCGACCCTCAAAGCCGTGGTCCAGGACCTGACCCTTTTCCGTGGCCTACCGGGCCAAGGACAAGGCCCCCCAGTGTCCCTCACAGCCCAGCACCCTCGAGACCAGAGAGCCTGGTCTGTTTCCAGGTCTGCTCCTCTCAGCTCCTGCTCAGCTCTGGGCAGGCCACAATGTCTCCGCCAGGGTTCCCTGGGGTTCACCCCCTCTCAGCACCTGGCCAGAGCCCCAAGACGGGGGTGCCTGCCCCAGCCCTGGGTTCCTGTGGCCTCTGCTCTCGGGGTTTCACTGGGACCGGCACAAAGGATGGGCGGAGGCTGTTCTTGGGAGGGTTGCTGCTGCCCGGGACTCGCTCAGCTTGCAGAGTCCTGACAGCAGCCTGAACCCTCACTCCTGGAGCCAGGCAGGAAAGGGACACTCTGTGGCCCAGGGCCTGAGAAGTGCTCAGTGGCCAAGGCGCCTCCCGGCCTGCCCTCTGCGCGGATGGGACCTGCCGTCCTGTCCCGCGGTGTCCTTCCTTACACGTCAGCCGGCTTTGCCTCTCCATCCCCTGGTCCTTGCCTCACATTCGGCCTGGGGTGCCAGGCACGGTGCTAGGCCCAGGGCCATGGCAGAGAGCAGGGGAGGGGATCCCCCCCTGGTGGAATTCAGACCATGGAAAGCTGTCACTGGCATTAACCAGACGGAGCTCTGTGACCTTAGACCTGAAGCAGCCACTCCTCACCCACCTGTATCTCTGGGCCCCAGACCCTCCCTTGTCCCCTGCCGGGCACCCCCACCCCATTGCAGCCCTTGGTTTTTCTTCACCTGCTAAAGGTGGATGACTGGGTTTGTTCCCCAAATGGACAGCACTGCAGGGTGCTACCATGGAGGCCGGCATTCTAGGCAGGTTTGGGGGTGCTGAGCTGGTCAGCCTCATGGGAAGGGCTGGAGGACGCCTACTCCCGCTCTGGGTAGGGTTAGGCCTGAGGGCTTCTCTGTCGTTTTCAGGGCGTGGGGCAGAGAGTGCCAGGACCACCGCCCCTCCCCCAGCTGACCGCAGCCCTAGGGGCTGGTCTCCCCTCATCCCGTAGGGGCTACAGTGGCTCCCAGAAAGGGGAGTGACAAAAGCACAACCACACAGTTGACCAGGCGGCCCTGCAATGCGGGACGTCCTGAGTCCAGAGAAGCAGCCGAGGCCAGGAGCGGGGGCACAGATAGATCCCCACCCACTACCTGAGCCCCTGTGCCAGTCTCAGCCTCGCAGCAGAGCTGCCGTCTTCGCTTATGGGGGCAGAAAACCCCTATAAGACCTTAAGGAGCCTTCTGGTACCAAGGAGAAGATGGTGCTCCCCAGGGCAGGGAGTTACAGCACCAAACAGCCCCAGGGCGTTTGGCATCCCCACTGCACGAGCAGGCTGGTCCCCGTGCAGACGGGTGGGCCACCAGGGAAACTGGTTAGTGGGCGGGAAAAGGAGTCGGCCTGTCCCTCATTACAGGCTGGCGTGTGATGGCATCCTGGCCCGCGTCCAACTTGGGTAATTACACTCTGCCGACCTAGATTCCCCCTTCAGCTTCAATTAGCGCCAGGACGTGTCCTCACTTCCCACCCAAACTGGTCAGGAAGCAGCCACCACATCCCCCAGAGCTGCTCGCTCTGCCACCCCGGCAGACGGCTGTGCGGTCATCCCACAGACATGCATGATGCAAGGGGAAGCCTGGGGCTCCCGGGCTATTCTGAGGGGAGGAGGTAGTAGGAGAGACCCCCCAGAGGCACAGGAAGATGAGTTATCCCTGAATACTGCCCTCTGACCAGATTTGGGGACCCTGTGTGGGTGGGGTCCTGGGAATGGTGCCCACAGGGCCACTAACCTCCCCTGCCCCTCCCCAGGGAACACCATATCCCTGCCGACAGCCTCGGGCGCCAAAAAGCGCTTCTGGATCATTGAGGACATGTCACCGTTTGGGAAGCGGCGCAAGACGGCCTCCTCCCGCAAGATGCTGGACGAGGGCATGATGCTGGAGGGCTTCCGGCGCTTCGACCTCTACGAGGACTGCAAGGACGCGGCCTGCCAGTTCTCGCTCAAGGTCACCCACTACCATTGCACGCGTGAGAACTGCGGCTACAAGTTCTGCGGGCGCACGCACATGTACAAGCACGCGCAGCACCACGACCGCGTGGACAACCTGGTGCTGGACGACTTCAAGCGCTTCAAGGCCTCGCTCAGCTGCCACTTCGCCGACTGCCCCTTCTCGGGCACGAGCACGCACTTCCACTGCCTCCGCTGCCGCTTCCGCTGCACGGACAGCACCAAGGTCACGGCGCACCGCAAGCACCACGGCAAGCAGGACGTGATCAGCGCGGCCGGCTTCTGCCAATTCAGCTCGAGCGCCGACTGCGCCGTGCCCGACTGCAAGTACAAGCTCAAGTGCTCGCACTTCCACTGCACCTACCCGGGCTGCCGCCACACGGTCGTGGGCATGTCGCAGATGGACTCGCACAAGCGCAAGCACGAGAAGCAGGAGCGCGGTGAGCCCGGCGCCGAGGGCCCCGGCCCCGGCCCGGCTGGCGGCCTGGACGGCTCCCTGTCGCTGGGCGCGCC